AGGAATACCGCTCTGTGAAGACCAATACCGAATAATACCGAGCAATACCGAGCAATACCGAGATATAAAAATATCGAGATATTTTTTGGTATTATTCGATATTGATCGGTATTACTCCGTATTTTGTCTTCATATAAGAATATTTCTTGTTATTATTGGTATTGCTCGGTATTTGCTCAGTATTTTCCTTTTGTGCCTGCAATCTTAGCGACGGCTACGTACCTTCACCGGACCAAATAAAAGTTCTCAATTTAGAGCATCGCTGTAGACTCTCTCGAATCTCCTCTTCGAGGCGCCGCGTCTCCGAGGTCTTCCGCGTTGTCGGGTCTTCGTCGCTAAGGGAGGAGAATGAGGTGTTAGCGGCTGCCGGTGTTCGTCGAGCAAGGGAGGCGTCGACTGGCGCGCGGTTTCTCCCAGATATTCGATACGCGCGTGGAGGTGAGGTCGCGAGCGCCAGGATGTGCGGAGACCGCCGGCGTGTAAAGCGTCGCGAGGTGGGGGTCACGTGTGACGGTGTATTCTGTCCGATTCTAATGAATTCGAAAAACGCACAAAAAAGGTGACATTGTAAATGATATTGTATTTATTTTTCCTCTAACAAATCATTCGAAAAGTTCGAAAACTCTTATATTTATTTTACTTGACATTCAAAATTCTCCCAACCAAACAACCCCAAACTCGCTAGCATGACCGTGCTTGTTTTTTCTTTCTTACCGTGCTCGTCATTGTCGGCGCTGATGGGTGTGGACCATTGTGAGAAGCGTTACGCTTTCGTATTTGCAAGTTTCCAATTTCTTACACTTGTTTATTTTTAGATATTAAATAAGTATCGTTTTTCTCAGTGTTTTAGGAGCAACCTTGTAATCGGATTTTGGCACCGTTAGAATCGGCCCATCAAAATGATTTGTTATTGGATAGAAATAATCCCATCATCCTAATTACTGTGATAGCAAATCACGCTGGTCAGTTGCTGCTGCAATATAGCTGGGATAGGGGTAATTTCACAATGCCGCTACTACTTAGATATAATTTATGATTATGCGCTACCGCTGTAATTTTTGGTCTGGGTGAAGTACGTAAGCATCAAAGTACACTTTTTTTTTTTTATAAATTTAATTGATTAGTAAATTAAAATTTAGTCCGACAACCAGAAAACTAAAGTTGGGCCACCGTAATCTGAGGAACCTATATTTTTTTCTCCAACTTATAAAATACCCTGATGGAACATCTTACCAAATAAGCCTTCGTTCATGATAATTTGCTTAAATTGTACATTGTATCCCAGTTTAATTGCTAATGTAATCTCAGTACCTTCAGAATTGTTGCTAATTTTTTGTTTGATATGCATGTTTGCTATTTTCTGCTGTTTTTAATAATGATATACATAAAACAGCGTTGTAGTGGAAAGAATAGTGGCCACCAGGCGCCACATTGACGAAAAACAAAATCAAACGAGAGTTTAAAATAGATGGAGGAAATATTTTAGCAGTTTGATATTGAGAAAAATAAGTTTTGTGTTTTTGTGAACAGGTGTTTGTACGTGACTTTGTTCCCAGTGCAATGGCTTTCCTAATGAATAAGGAGCCTGATATAGTCAAGAATTTTCTATTGAAGACTCTACGACTTCAGAGCTGGGAGAAGAGGATAGACCGCTTTAAGCTTGGAGAAGGGGCTATGCCAGCGAGCTTCAAGGTACTTCATGACTCTAATCGCAAAACTGATACAGTGGTTGCAGATTTTGGTGAAAGCGCTATCGGAAGGGTGGCACCTGTTGACTCTGGCTTCTGGTGGATTATACTTCTCCGAGCTTATACAAAGTCAACTGGAGATACCTCTTTGGCAGAATCGACTGATTGTCAAAAGGGAATGAGGCTTATATTATCTTTATGCTTGTCAGAGGGTTTTGACACTTTCCCAACATTGCTATGTGCTGATGGTTGCTCCATGATCGATCGGAGAATGGTATGTATAACGCAATACCTTCTATTTGATCATATATTCTCCAAATGGCTGATGCTTGAAATGATGATATTTGAGTAAAATTATTTACTGATTTCTATTATACACTCCTATTGCTTTGCATGTCAAGACTAAACTGGCATGAGATGCTATTATCTTGTTTTATTTTTTCACGGGAACTTTAGCCATTGAAAATCACATTCTTTTGCTTCATTTTAATCTTGTCTCTTAACATGATGTTCTTTGAAGTAAGAATTTACTTTGTTAGTTGTGCCTATTATATTAGGCAAGTACATTAGTGGACTTCGATAGGTAAAAACAGTGAGTGTAATGAAAAAATCTGGATGAAATCAATCCAAAACAATATATTGTAATAAGGGAATCAAAGCAAAGCAAACGCAAAGCAAGATACAATTGATCCTCAATTCGAGAGGAGATATCGTTCTCTCCCAATCTCTAGACATCGAGTCTAGAGCCCAAGACGCTAAGGAAAACTCCAAGAGAACAATTCAAAGCATGCATAAACCCTAACTCTAACCTCTCATGCCTATTAAATCTTAATTCAAATATCCTTTCCCTCCTAACCTAGCCGCCTCCCTTAATTAGCCCTGTGAGGCCCACTGCTTGGGCGGCAAACCCAAGCTGTGGAACATCTAAATTAGGGAACAAACTAAGCTCCAATGCTTCAAAAGAGTATATAATTCATCATCCTCTTTCCTACTACATTAGCTATATTTATAAGCTGGCAAGAACTTTCTAGAAGACATGTAACAAAATAGATAAGTTACTCCTAAGGGCTTATTTAGCTAATGATGCACCGCATCAAAATCTCATGCATTATATCTTTTGTTGATGGGTCTTCATATAATGGATGTGCCCATTTCTTTTCATCTTTTAAGATACAGGACCGTCTTACTACAGGTGCGTACTTCGGATGTATTTGAAGAAAATGGAAATCAAAATTATTTATCTATTTGTTTAAGCTCAAATAATTAAAATTTCTTCCATTGTTCGTCATTCCTGCTCCGCATTTCATTAATATTAAAATGGTTCTCTTTCTTAACTCCACAGGGTATTTACGGTTATCCAATTGAAATCCAAGCCCTTTTCTTTATGGCACTGCGATGCGCCTTTGCACTGCTTAAACAAGATGCAGAAGGAAAGGAGTTTATTGAGAAAATTGTGACACGCGTTCATGCTTTAAGTTACCACATACGAACTTACTTTTGGCTTGACTTCCAGCAACTCAACAGCATATATCGTTACAAAACAGAAGAATACTCTAACACAGCAGTAAACAAATTTAATGTCATTCCTGATTCCATACCGGATTGGTTATTTGATTTTATGCCTATTCGTGGTGGCTACTTCATAGGAAATGTAAGTCCTGCAAGAATGGACTTCAGGTGGTTTGCCCTAGGCAATTTTTTCACCGTCTTATCTAGCCTGGCCACCCCTGAACAATCTACTGCCGTTATGGATCTTATTGAGGAACGTTGGGAGGAGCTGGTTGGTGAAATGCCCTTGAAAGTAGCTTATCCTGCTATTGAGGCTCGTGAGTGGCAAATTGTCACAGGTTGTGATCCCAAAAACACCAGATGGAGTTATCACAATGGAGGATCCTGGCCGGGTTAGTGAATCTGAAACCACTCTGCTACACCTTTATCAATATTTAGGATTGTCAAAACTGGGTTTCGGGTCGAATTCGGAATTGACTCGGGTTCAAACGGGTCGACCTTAACCCGGCCAAGCTTGGTAAACGAGTCGGAAATTCGAACATGGACCCAACCCGGCAGGTTGCCGGGTTGACCCGACCCGATACGGGATGGTGGGCTGCGGGCGGGCGCGGATGTGGGTGGCTGGTTGCAAGCGGGCGCGGACGTAAGCGACATGGACGCGAACGACTTGGCGCAGGCACGGACGACGGTTGCGGGCTGGTGAGTGGGCATAGATGTGCGAAGGAGGGGTGCGCGAGCACAAGGGCAGGCTTGGGTGGGGGGCAGGCAACTGGGCAGGGGGGCCGGGCAGGGTCGGGCAGGTCCGCAAACAACCGGGCAGTAATTTCAAACGGGTTTTCGGGTTGACCAGGCAACCTGTCGGGTCAACCCGAACCCGACCCCTTTTTCAAACGGGTCGAATCTGGGAACTCGAAACCGACCCGTTTTAGAAATTGATCTGGTCTAACCCGAAATTTCTGAGTCGGATTTTTCTGTCGTGTCAAATATTGACAACCCTACCAATATTAATCATTTTTATGTTAAATGAATCAACATTTATACTGAATAATTACGCTTGTTCTGTGGCACAGTTCTGCTTTGGATGTTGACAGCAGCGTGTATAAAGACAGGACGACCACAAATAGCAAGGAAAGCGATTGAACTTGCTGAGAGACGTCTGGCCAAGGATGGCTGGCCTGAATACTATGATGGAAAATTGGGACGGTACGTTGGAAAGCAGGCCAAGAAGTTCCAGACTTGGTCTATAGCAGGCTATTTGGTCGCCAAGTTGATGATGGAGGATCCTTCCCATGCGGGGATGATCTGCCTTGAAGAGGATAAGGCGATGAAGCCTGCTCTAAAGCGATCAAGCTCCTGGAGTTGCTGACTAGATCTGCCTTCGCTGGAACAAATCTGTAGGTTTTCAATCGGTAAATTCTTCCTTCTTTCTTTTTTCCCTCCACTGCATGACCTTTTTGGGTGGGAGGGAATGTTATGATTCGGTACGAAAACTTAGGTCATAATCCGAATTTGAATTTGCTTTAGGATAAGTAAAACACATATATAACTAATCAATATTATATTACAATTACCTTAAATTAAATTTAATGAGTATAACTTTTATTCTCTCTAAATTTTGAAATAATTTTTATTTGAACGATATAAAAAATTTAACCCTTTGAAATTTTCATGATATTTTTTATATTGATTGCATATTTCTATTAATATCTTATCACTCATTTGTGCTCTATCAATAAAGCAGAGATCTGTAGGCAAATCCTTCATAACCATAGATGAGTCATACTTATAAGAAAATCTCTGGGCTTTCTCTACGCAACCTGTTTATTATTTCCAAGGCATTATAAGGTCATCGAAATCCGGTTAGTCTATTTCTAAATTCAAACCAAATAAAATGTTTATTTCTTATATTATATTATTTTTATACGATATATGCTATTATGGAAAATCAAATATCAATTTAATAATTTTAAGATATATCACATGGAAGCTAAAATGACATTAATATAAAAGTGAAATATATTAAAGAAATGCTGCGTTGTTCTGTAGGTGAGATTACACAAAGTTGTCTAAATCTACTGAAGATTTTGGTCAAAATTCCAGTCTCGGACAAAGTCTCTAGTAAGAGCGTGGCTTCGTACGAGGCGAGGGGTATCTGTTGCGTTTGTGATGTTGGAGATTGGAGTCACCTTCGCGGTAGGAATTTTGTTTGCATTAGCTGTAGGAGTAGGATTGGTCTTCAGTCTAAGGCAGCTCACCATCGCAGCACATCGCCCATCGTTATCTGAGCTGGAAGCCGAGTAGCTTCTCAAGGAATTAGTTCGGCATGCAATACAAGCCAAACTCATTCTTTATTAATTAACTCTGCAAATTATGGCTGCAACTAACCAACATACAAAAAATATACATATATATATATTAAAGACTTATGCTTTCAATCATGACAAAAATATGGAGATATATAGAGTTTGCGCTAAGGGAGAGCAAGGGAAAGGGAAAAAGCTTCATCTTGATTTCGTAGTACGTGAATCTCTTTATCACTTGAGCGTACTTTTTGTGTGATAAGATTTGGTTAGTGTAGCATTTCTAATTAAAAATAGTAATGGAGTTTTGAATGGCAATAAAGCAGATGCTACAGAATTTGTTAGAAAAAAAAATTATTTGAGGAAATCTTGTACCTTAAATAATTAAAAAATAACTTTAATCTAAAAAAAATAATGAGTTGGGCTAAATTCAAATATTTATTCGCTAACCAGAATTTACATAATCTCATAAATAATAATTACGTTATTTAGTTAAATAATAAATATATAAAAATATTTTTAATATATAAATTTAGCTATTTGTTTTATATATTTGCATCATATTTATACCTCAAATTATATATACGAATATATTTAAATAATATTAAAGTATCAAAAATAATTAAATTTTATTAAATGGAAATTTTAACAAACTCTTAGTGAGCTAATTTTTTGGAACGAAATAAGCATATATAAGAGCATAAATGTATAAGAATATCAATATTCAAATCTATCCATTTCTATGTTAAATATTAAAATTTTATTCCAAATTATTTAATTAAGTAAACAACTAAGCATAAATGAATCTTAGATGATAAATATTGAGCTATTTATAGGAGCATTAATTCACTTGTTACGCTAATCGTAGCTAAATAGATGCACATCAGAGATAAAAGTAAAATAAACAGTATTGACCGCTGAGTATTCTTGTCTACTTTTTCCCCTTCGCCTTTAATAACTTTAATTGAACTTACAACTTCGCTCGATCATATCATCTCTCCACCCATTGAATGATTTAGTATGAAAAGATTTTATGTTACTTCTATATTATCTTTTTGTCCTCCTTTATAGTTTTTTAAGATATATTGTTAACTAAACATACATAAAATGGCCTATCTTCCACCTGAAATATGCAGAAGTGACCCATCTAACTAAGATTCTCTATAATTCGATTCACTAATCAAAGAATAAAAGCTTCTAATGTGGCACTTAATTAGCTAAATATATGAGTGGGCAAGCTTCTTCGTAAGCCTCAAGAAAGATCAGAAATCTTGCATACATGTAACAGCACAAAACTAGGATAGATTTGCGCAAAGGCAGGCTGAACAAAGGGGTACGTTGCAGAGCCTGTTTTTTTTTTCCCCTATGATTTCGCTGACTAAATTGAGTTTCGGGGGATTTAAGTATTGATATATCCTCAGAAAATTATCTTGATCGGGCACGAATCTCGAGGAAAAATCAAGTCAGAACTTCCAAAATTAAATTTGGAATCATCCGAACTCTGGTTTCAACAAACTTCTGTTGAATTGAACATCTCGAGAATACGAACCCAACGACACCAAATTCGATTTTTTTCCTATGATTTTGCTGACTAAATTGAGTTTCGGGGGGATTTAAGTATTGATACATTCTCAGAAAATTATCTTGATCGGGCACGAATCTCGAGGAAAAATCAAGTCGGAAACTTCCAAAATTAAATTTGGAATAATTCGAACTCCAATTTCAACAAGCTTATTGTTGAATTGAACATCTCGAGAATACGAACTCAACGACACCAAATTCGACTCAATCCGAGCCCAAATGGGTCCGAATCAAGGACCCGAAGCACTGTTGGAAGGTTCGAACCACAATTTGGTTTACCAAATGGTTTCCAAACGTGACATGCTTATAGTCGAATTGAGCTGCTCGATGAGATGAATCCAACAAGCCCAAGATCACTAAATTTCGATATCACTAAGACATTCAAATCCCCAACAAACGGTCTACGATCAAGGGATTCAACATCGGCCATCCATCCAAACCACTCTCCATTTATCCTAGATCTTCCTCATATTTACGGGCCATGCCACCCTAAAAAATCTATAAATAGAGCCCCCTTTCCTCTTGAAAGGGGACCCCAAGTAGGAGAGCAAGAGAGAGATCGGAGATCGCTCTTACCCCTTAGCTCCTCCATGACCACCGCCCGAAGTTCCGCCGGACCACCACCTGATGTATGGAGTTCCGTCGGACCATCACCTGATGCCTGGAGTTCCACCGGACCACCACCTGACTCCCGGAGTCTCGCACGGCCACCACTTGACGTCGGACTTTCGTCGAACCACCGCCTGATGCTGGATTTCAGCCGAACCACAGCCTGACGTCGAACTTCCACCGGACCACCGCCTGATGCCAGACTTTCGTCGGACCACCGCCTGACGCCAGACTTCCACCGACCACCGCCTTACGACAAAGATCTTTCTGACCCTTGTCTCCTGCCAACTACAGTCCTTTCGACCTCCATCGCCTACTATGGTCCTTTCGACCTCCAACGCTAGACTATAGTCTTTCTGACCCTTGTCTCCTGCCGACTATGGTCCTTCCGACCTCTGTCGCCTACTACAGTCCTTCTGACCTCCATCTCCATGCAACGATCTTTCTGACCCCTCTCTCATGCCGACTACGATCCTTCCGATCTCCATCACCAGACAATGATTTTTCTGACCCTTGTCTCTTGCCGACTACGATCATTTTGACCTCCGTCACCTACTACTGTAAGTGTAGCCTTCTCCTGTCTCCTGCTGACTATGATCCTTCCAATCTCCGTTGCCTACTACGATCCTTTTGAACTTCATCGCTATGCAATGGTCTTTCTGACCCCTGTCTCATGCTGACTACGGTCCTTCCAACCTCCGTAGCCTACTACGATCCTTCAAACCTACATTGTCAGACTACGGTCTTTCTGACCCTTATCTCCTCCCAACTTTAGTCTTTCTGATCTCCATCACCCATCGTTGTCGACTATGGTCATGTCAACTAAATGAACATATCAATACTGATTCTTCCAATTCACACAATGTAATATGATGTACATTCGCTACATCAACCCAAGGCTTTCCCCCTAAGGAAGGGCCTCATTTTTAATAGACTATAAATAATAGTGGATTCATTCAAACTGGGCAAGGCCTCGTGGTTTTCCCCCTTTTCAGGGGTTTCCACGTAAAAACTATGGTCTCTTATGAACGCTACACCCTCTCTTTTATCTGCTTGTGTGCTGGATCTTCGTACAAAGCTAAGACTAAATTTTATATTTCTCTACTGCCATAAATATTCTAGGACGCAACAAAGATATTTTTTCTGCTGTTCTAATTATTTGTGCACAAAGGTGGCTTCGTCTGTTGGAAATATCAAGACTATATAAAGACTTCACAATTAAAACCATCATAAAATCTACAATGATGACACTATAATGTAATTATAATTTCAATCAACAGAAAATTAATGTGTTCATGCGTTTATTTATTTATTTACTTTTTGTGATCACAGTGACTAATTTCGTCGAGCCTAATAACCAACACAAAGAAAATCTCACTTGAAAGATGAAGATTTAAGGATATCAAAGATTATATCGTCACATTTCAAATAGAAATATTAGAAGAAAAGACAGACTGGAGTAAATGGACACTATCTTAATAAGCAGACAGTATCGCTTCACTGTGTTTGGTTTGACTAAATTTATGAAAATTATGAAATAAAAAAAATCTGAAATTTAATTTTCATCCTAAAAAAAAAAGGCAATAAATATAATTATTTTTTCTTTAATAAAGAAGAACAAAACTTAAATTTCACCTGGAAGAAAGTGGCTGGATAGCACTCTACAAGTTTTTCTATTAGGATGGCGCTACATTTAGATGGTGAATAATAATCCAATCCAATAAAACGGCACAAAGATAGTAAAACATGACGAGTTACTCAGCCATCAGATGCCCAATTCCAGAATTTTAATAAAAAAGGGCTCATCGCAGACCAAAAAGAGAAATCTCCAGCACCATATTCGCAAGGAGAACTTAGAAATTGCAAAAACTCGAAAATAAAAAAAAGGAACAAATTAAAATCCCATATTATAGACCCAAAAAAAAGAGAGCTCAAGATTGAATTAAGGCAAGGGATTGCAATCGATTTCTTCAGGAAATTAAAAGATAGAAAAAGAAGAAAGCTAACCTCTACGCGAGCTGTGAAGGCTTTCTCGTTGATGACTGGTGACAAAGCTGCAGGTTTATTTTGTAGGAGAGCTTGAAGAGCTATAGGACAGCAAGAGATGGCTCTATAGCGACGGTGTGTCCTTTTTTGTGACCGTTTCTGTAGCCGGCCAACTGCCGCCACTTGGCCAGCTATTCTTTCCGGCGCAAGCATGGATGCGGGACCCAACAGCCAGTTGGGCAGTTGACGGTCAACTTCGGTGATTTTTAGGGTGAAGTGGGCCCAGTGGCTAGGTTTTCAATTGCTACTCTTACGAGAAATAATCTTTATATTATTAATTTCATTAAGCTTGAATGTTATACACGAAGCTATGGAGATTTGTTTTTTTGGTTTTTTTTTTTGTTTTTTGTTTTTTTTGTTTTGCTCAGCTAAAAAAATTACTATGCAGACGTAAAGCCATGTGCCTATGGGTGGATTAATAGGATAGAAAATGAATTTCGAAATATAAAATAACGAATATTAAAGCTTGTCATAATTAACTAATGAAGCAATTTATGGATGAGCTAGCATGTGAAATGGTCAACGCATACAGTTAGGATATGGGGGTGTGGTGTTTTTTGAAGGAAATAAAAAAAAAAAATATTTTGGAAATGGGGGGAAAAACATTTATGTCAATTTCATAGGCGATGTATTCGAAGCCGGCAATAAGACTGATGAAGCTGATTAGGATTTGATAAAATTATAAAACTCAGCAAACGGCCAAAAGAAAATTCATCTCATTTAGCTAACAAGTAAAAAAATAAACTCGCGAAGAGGAGGCTACAAAAGTATTATAAGGATAAAAAATATTCATGCAAGTCTAAGAAGTCCCGAAAGCGACACCATTAATACCCGTTTAGTTAAGTGATGATAGATTTGATCTCTCAGGAAGGTGAAATGTTACGTTACAGCACTAACCCCACTTTCGAAAAACCTAAGGTTCCATCTTCCCGAAGTAAATTGGATTTTTAATTTAACCAGATTCTCCCTAATGATCGATATCAGGATTTATTTAGTTATGAGGTTCCAGTTCCTCTGATTGCAAGCCCTCATATAGTTAATTATCAATTCTAATGAGTAGAAAAGCACTCTCGATTAAGGATGAAAATATATTTAGTTGTGCAAGAACTGTAGAAGTGCGCTAAGTGTTTATCTTAGTTTTGAGGAATGAAGGTACACCATATACACCATATCAAGATCCATAATTCTGTCGTCCTGGGTATACTGTAGATTTCAGTCTACCAACACTAACAACCATTGGTTGTATAGTCCAGGAAATTTGATTAGCAGCCATGAGCTGCCTCATCTCAATGAACTCGAGTAAACTTGAGTGGATAGATGTGGATTTTAATTTGGTTTAGGTTGGGGCTTGTGGCTCTGCTTGAGAGTTGCATGTAGTTTAGATTTATGTTAGGTTTCACGACCCCCTTTAGGAGTTCCCTATAGTTTAAATTTGGGTCGGGCTTACGACTTTTATTGAAATTAGCCAGAATAGCAGGTCTTACAGCTTCTATTAGAAGTAACCCTTATAGTGGGTTACAAGTGGGCTTTACTGCTTCACTTTTAAATAGCCCAGAGGTTTTGGGTACAAATGAGTCTTATGGCCTCTATTAGAAGAAGCGCGTATAGCGGGTCTTACAACCTAGGCCTATAAGCAAGACATCCTGGGTTATCATGGATGCGTTATTTATTATGGGAAAGTTTTTCCCAACACCATAATTAAGGTGAGACTTATGATTTTTATTAAAAGTGACTCGAGTTATCAGGGATTTAGGGCTAGGTTAATTTTACCTAGAGATTTTTTTTCTAACGTGTGTTAGATAAAGTCAAACTTACGACCTGTATTAGAAATTATCGGCTAAACCTAACATGTTCATTGCTTCACATAATAGTTTGTCTACTGAAATAGTTACCAGTAGGATTCACTACTTCTATTCGAAGCGACCTATAGGGTTTAGGTTAGCGAGGACATAGTTTTACACACTGCATTGCTTTGACACCAATGTTAGCATATTGTTTTGTCAGTTTTACTTTAGTGCCTAATTTTATTTTGTTAGTACTAGTTTTGTTCTTTCAAACGACAGCTTTAACAGTACATATTTGTTTTACCAACAGTTTTAGTGTGAACATTGTTCTGTGTTTTCTTTAATGCATTCATCTAATTTCAAATTAATTGCATTTAGGTTAATTAATTAAATTTTGATTTTAATTAAAGTTAAAATTTAAAATTAATTGCTCAGCACTTCAATTAAAATTAAATGTATTTAAAAATTATTTAATTAATTTTAATTTAATTATTAATTAAATTTAAATTTTATTTGCTCAATTAATTTGATTAAAGTTTTATTTTTAATTAAAGTTTTGATTTTATTAAATTTTAAATTAATTGTTTAATTATATGACTTAAAAAAATTTTGATTTTAATTTAAGTTAAAGTTAAAGTTTAAATTGTTTTTAAAATTTTTTAATTATTAATTAAATTATTTACACTATTAAATTTAATTTAAAGGTTTAAAGTTATTAATTAAAATATTTGATTACTTTGGGTAATTTGTATTTGTATTTTAATTATTTAAAATTAATTGCTCAATTAATTGGTTATTTTAATTAATTAGTTAAGAATTTAATTAATATTTTAATTAGTTAATTAAATGGAAGGTTTTAATTAATTGAATTATTATTAATAAAATCAATTGATTAGTTATTTAAACATTTTATTAATTAATTAAATATTTATTTTCAAATTAAATCGGTCAATTGAATGGTTTCCAATTTTTTCAAAAATACGCACAAATCCAAATTTTCGGGAAGTTTTTTCAGCCTATGAGGTCGGGAGGGCACTTACCCTTTCTAGTCTGCTTGGCCGGATCAAATTGACGGCGAGGGCTTCGGGGGAACGAATCAACCATGCTATCGGTTTTCAAATCCTTTGTTTGTAACCTAGCGTTTTCCCTGACATTTCAGCAGCCTTTCGGCGCCCCCTCCCCACGAGGGAAGGTTGGGGAGCGTACTTGCCCTTAAGATCCGCTCGGCCGGATCTGATTGACGATCGAGGGCTTCGGGGTACATATCAACCCCGGCACCGATCATCGTTGGTCTTCAATTGGACAATTGTAGCAATTGCAGTTTCCAATAATAATAATAATGATAAAACTAGTACTTATAGTAATTATTATTATTAATTATTAGTAATTATTATTAAAGATAACAATAATAATGAAATACAACAGAACTCGTTCTTCCTCACTCACAGTTTCAAATCAAGAAACTAGACGAAGACTCATGAGTAATAATCGAAAGGCAAAGGGCTTTCATTCGATAATGATAGGTATGAAATACTAAAATTTTGGGTATTAGATATATAAATAGCATGATATAAAATTATATGTATGTAAATCCCCTAAATTTAAATTGGTTTGATAATGCATAATTTATACACTAACAATAACTTTATTTAATGCTAAATAACATTGGAAATCAATATCACAATTTTTCAAACAAAAGGGTAGTTTGTTTCATTATTGATTAGCAAGGAAAAATAGATAATACAACAATAACAAAAAAAACAGGATGCTAGAGCGAGCATCTACCGTTTAAACAGGTATTGGGCGCCGTAGGGAGAGCAAAGCCTCTTTTATATTACTTACTGCATCCTGTAGCGTTGCAAGTGATGCTGCATAAGAGATCCTTATGCACTTATCATCACCAAATGCGTCTCCTGGAACAAGAGCAACCTGCCATGTAACAAGAACTGAATTGTTAGTTCCATAAAATTGAATTACTATGGAGAAATGAAGAGGCTGTACTTCACCTGTGCCTTGTCTAGAAGAAATCTGCAAAGGGATTCTGAGTTGTTGATAATGCCAAATCCTTCTACTTCAGTTCCATAATAAGAGCTTAAATCAACGAAAAGATAGAAAGCACCCTACAAAATATATGTTTTATAAATAATGAAATCAGATATGATAATTATGAGTACCTGAAACATTTACTGACGCCGCCACGACTCATGAACTAATTGTTCATGATCATATGGACAGACATGAATCTTCCACTTACTGGGCACAAATTGAAAGGGCAAAACTATTTCTAATGGGCTAAATCAATTATGCTATTCGTAAAAGGAAAGAGTAAGAATGACTATCTCACAGGTGCAACACTTCTCCAGAAAGATTCATAATTTACAATACAACGATCTGAAATTAAAATGGTGATGTAAGGGCTCATCAACACTATGAAAAATGAAATTGGCCAAAATTTTATGTGTTATGCTATAATGAAAGAAGTTTGGGATGAAAAAAAAAAAAGAGGTCAAATTGGGTAATAAGAATGCAACCGTGTTACTCGAACTCAAAGGTGCGCTCCACAATTTTAGGCAAGGAGATCTATATTGCTCAATATTATAATCTTTATTTTAGGCTCTGAGACGAAATTAGCTCAATTTCTAATAATTTAGGGACTAGATGAGGCAATGCAAAACTTTGGGACTAAATTGTATATTTATCAATAGTCGGGGGACTATTTTGAGCTTTTACTCTTATTTATGTGGATGATATTATCCTAATAGACAATGATGAGGTAGAAATCAATAAACTGAAAGAGATTAAATCAAATGAATTTGAAACTAAAGATCTGAGAATCTTAAAATATTTCCTGGATATGAAAATAGCAAGACCAATGAAAGGAATTCCCTGAATCTTTTAAAAGAAACTAAAATGATGAAACTCGCAAAGACTTTATGGATCCTATTAACAAAATAGGATCAAAAGGTAACATTATCTAATTGATAAAAAAGGTATCGGCCTGGTTGGAGAACTTATTTATCTTTCTAATTTTCATCCTAATATATGTTAACTCTACCAATGTGGTGAGCCTATTTATGAATAGGCCAAATTGCGCTATACATGACATTAAGGTATCTAAAAAAGACCGAAAAAGTCTATTTTTCGTGTTTTGTTTATCCTAATAATTTCTTTAATTCTAGGAGTAGCAATTAATCCATTTTGACTCCTATAAATATGTAACATTCTTGGAATAAAAAAAAATGAGATTCAAGTTTTCTCTTCTGTTTTTCTTTTTTATACTTCGTCTCTTGTTTTAACAGTAAGAAAGCAGTTGTTTGGCTTTTTTTGGTGAAAAAAATCAATAATATCTGCAACTTTGAAAACTGTTATTTTCCATAATTGTTTTACAATTAATTTTATAAAATCCCAAACAGACCATAAGTTGAGAACATGTTATGTTTGGTCACCTTGGGTTCTGATATCTTAACACCATCTAATTCCTTGAAGCTTTTAACAAGAAAATCCCGCCGTTCCTGGAAAGCTTTCACCATGGTAGCAACAGCTTCACCTCCTGCATAGCCCATACCAAGGGCTGCAAGCCCTGCTTTCTGTGAAATGCTGCTAGCACCAGATGTAGACTGTAATCAGCCCGGGAAAACATCTAGTCAGTTTCCGGGTAATTTTGGAACAGTATATTAGCTCAAATAATATGTTATGCAACTGAGTAAAAGATAACAAGTATAATAAGAAAACAAATGAAGCATACGCGATAAGTGAATCATACGAGCTGTTTAATTTCTGGAATACAAACTTATTCCTTCTTTACAAATTTCAGACTTCCAAGAAGTAACATTTGAAGTTCATTTGAAGTTCAGGAGAAGTTGCAGTAGATTAATTATTTAAAAAAAAATTCCCTATCAAAGGATCAGCAGCGGGTCCTTATGTTCATATGTTATGGTTGCCATTTCAATTAACAATGGACAATCAATATAAAGGCATCGTAGGTGGTTTCATTGACTAATTAATATTATGAGAAAATAAAATAAATTATGAAGAGAAATGGAAAAAATCATCTATTTGCATTGGATTTTTTATTAATAGAATTGGATTTAGGCTTTCTTTCTGCTTATTAACCAGCTTTCTAGCAAAAATAACTCGGTTAGAAAGCATCATAAATGATATTTTTTTATTAGATTTAAATAAGAATTAGACTCTTAACAAGACACAATGGAGAAAAAAGATTAATGTAGTCCATCCCATGTAGTGAGATAGTATGACGATGTTGTCATTGTTGTAACATTTGGGATTAAAAAACAATGTTATTTTTGCTATCATCTAGTGAAACCAGAAGTTATTACTAGTAAGTAATCCTAAAGGCTTTGTTTATTTCCATATAAGCAGCTAATGCCTCGTATATAGTGGAGGCAGAAGATTCAGGTTTCTCTACTTAAATAAGGTTTCATTTAGCTTCATAAGAAACAATAATTTTATATAAATGGGATTAAAAATACCTGGCTTTGGATCTTCCCACAAGCTGTGACAAAGTGCTTAGGGCAGGCAAGATATCCAAGCCTCCAACCAGTCATTGCAAAAGCCTGAAAACAATCATCTACACTTAAGAATATTGACCTACAATTCACATATAGGCTAAGCATAATCTCACTCATCTAATTCAAATATATAATTCTCGCATGCTTCATGCCTTCTGAACAGAAAATTTTAACAGAAATTTGCTTAAGATAGATAGCTAAGATCCTGGTGTTAAGAGGAAATGACAAGCATATCATCAGGTAAAAAGAAGTTTAAACTCTTTAATTGTCCATCAAACAGTAGAGTTCCACGTTCTTTTCTATTAATAAGATGTGAAACCAAATAGTTGACTTCGTACAAAATCAGTATAGGTTGTTCTCGACCATCATCATCATAATCCTTAGCCAGATGACACCATAGGCTCTTCAGGAACAAAAATAAATACTCAATGCCTTAATGAGGCTGTATACCTTCGAAAATCCATTGACAGTCAAGGTTCTCTCCCACATGCCAGGCAATGAAGCAAAACTCGTGTGCTTTGCTGGAGGGTAAATGATATGCTCATATATCTCATCGGACAAAACCTGTACAGCAATAGATCGAGTTAAGCAATTCCAAATGAAACCATAAGTTAAAACATCAAACATACATAAAGTAATACGAATGAACATTCCAGAAAACTTACCAGGAGCCTAGGATGTTTTCTAACAATATCAGCTATCTCCTCAAGCAGCTCTTGGTGATAAACTGATCCCGTTGGATTGGATGGCGAGCAAAGAATGAGCAGCCTTGATTTCTCATTAAGTTTTGAGGCAAGATCTTTTGGTTTCAAGAGAAAATTATCTAATATGTCAGTAGGAATAACCACTGGTGTTGCATCAGCTAGCCTAGCCATCTCAGGGTAGCTAACCCAGAATGGTGCCGGAATTATAACCTATATAAAGTAATGAATAATTAGAACTGTAAGATATGAAGAATCAAGTATCATATAAACTTTCAATGAACAGAGGAAGTTAACACAAATATCTACAGAAAAAAGCATTCATATAATACCGAAAGGGACTATTCCGTACAACATCTTCACACGGTAATCTAGAATATGCAAGCTTAAGCCTCATCATCTGATTTCTGAGGAAACTTTATCCAGCAATACTAATATCTTTCTATTGTATAAGTTAGAATTCAGGCCAGCTGGACCTGGACCCAATTTTTATCTTTTAGATAAAATATTTAGTTGGATGTTGATGCCAAAGGAATCGCCTAACATTTTTTCAGGGATCGGAGATTTCAACGAAAAATGGAGTAAAGCATGCCTCTTTCTCCTTCCTTCTCGCAAGATTGTTTCTTTCTAAGCTCTCTAATTCTGCATCTTCTTGAAGTAGTTTGTTGTGAACTCAGAACATCATTAATCTAGATATTGTTTTGAGCATTTAGTTATTTGGGATACTAATTAGTCAGTTGGTGTATGCCTTGCATTTTATAAATACCACCATTTAGAGAGGGTGAGAATAAGAAATAAATAAATCAAGCTTTCCTTTCTTTGATTAGTTTCTTCTTTTCTTTGATAATTTTGAGAGTTTTACCTCGAAATACTCGAATATGATCTAGGATCCTATTAATGGTGCTTTCATTGCATCATCCAGTATATCTTCTTCTTATTGAGATTACACTGTCATCCGTGTGCCAAATCCTCCTATCACCATAATACACCTATATTCTCTTCCTGATCTCAGGCGCCACTGTCTCAAGAAAAAGATCTGCCTTTAGGACTTGCATCTCATCTATTTTGCTTGAAACCAATGCACAACCACCATCCACCACCTACAATTCTCAATGCCATCACTTCCTACCACCTCAGATCTCCACACCATCCAAGCAATCACAATATAATTCACATATCACTCAGACATGATCCAGACAAAACAAGATATGTTTTGGCACATCATAAATTTATCGCATTTTCGCCATATTAATGTGGTCATGACTAGTAAAATGTGATGACATTCTACATAACACATTCTCTATATGATCGCAAGTGTCGCACTATGGTTGCGATCTCCGTCTAATATTATGTCATGTTGTGATTGCAATTTTTGTTTGATTGAGCGCATTAAGACACAATCGCAATATATATCCAATTACACATGCTATTTTGTTATCGCATCTTTTGTCTAATCGTGACAGCAACACGATGCATGCAGTCAGATGTAATATGCAATCGAGATAAGACTAGGGCTAAGATTTTAGCTCGAACATTGAAAATAGTTCAAATATTTAATTAATTTTCGCCTTAGATCGAACAAAATGAGCCGAGCCACAAGCTAAATTTTTTTCTGTCCAATTTCATGCCATGGGTGGATCTGCTTGAACAAGCCTAAAGTTAGATCGAAGATATTTTTATTCATAAAATTATTTATCGTTTATATATAGTACAATTGAGTAGAATTCTAACAACAATATTTGATTGCCTGAGTGGTACGCTTTGCTCTTTTTCATCCTATGGCTCGGGTTTGAACTTGCTTTTGCAATTAATTTTCACTAAATAAATTCGAGTTGGTTCAATCAAAACAAGCCAACTCAGGCTTGATTTGTAAGGCTACAATGAGTTGAGAAACTCCATTTGAGCAAGCTTGAAAAAAGCTCATGAAATTAAAACAAACCAAATCAAGCTTGATTCAATTTTGATCTGATCCTGCTCAAAATCAAATGAATCGATCCATGATCCTATTTCAAACCATGGTCCAATCCATTGAGCCAATTTCAAGCTGACCTCGGATCAGCTCGAAATCAGATTGTTCACAACCTTAGATGCAACATGAATTAATGGAGAATGTGACCTTTTGGATTCCACCAAATTTGACATCAAAATATTTGATCAATGTGGCAGGTAATGTAATAAATCTGCAATGTGCTAAAACTTGTAATGTAATGTTAGGATCATGTCGAAGTAATGAGTGAATGACGTCGTGATTGCCTGCAATGCAAGCCAAATGTGATGACTAAAAGGTCAAGCACAATGCATGAATTATGTTCAACTTGATGAGTAGCGAACTCAAAATTACTGGGCGTGTGTGGCACCATATAAATAATCCAATAATAATGAATTGACCAACAAACTACATTAGTGTGTGTGCTAAATATAGACTAGGTAAAAATGGGAGGTGACTCAAATATATCAAAACTAACATGTAGCCTAGGATCAACCGAGTCAATGCAAAATGACTTGCATGTGTTGGATCTAGTGTGAGTGTTAGAATCATCCGAGTGTGGGGAATTCACTTGGGTCTAGTGTGAATGTGTGCTAGACACAACGAATAGAAGTATGTGTAGATGACTAGGATGTGGCCCTCATCAAAGATATAAGTGTTCATATTATTATTTATGCGTTGGCAGTACTACAATGATCAAACAAAAATGCAACCCAAATTCAACCAAAGTGTGTGTGGAGGTTGAGCTAGCAAGTGCAACAAAAGCAATGTCAACATTTCTCTTTCATTGCTGTCTTAATTTCTTTATGTGTGTTTATGTACAATGGGTTGAGAAACTCCATTTGAGCCAACTTGAAATTAGGCTCATGAGATTAAAACAAACCAAATCAAGCTTGATTCAATTTTGATCTGATCCTGCTCAAAATCAAATGAATCGATCCATGATCTGATTTCAAACCATGACCCAATCCATTGAGCCAATTTCAAGCCTATCCTGGATCGGCTCGAAATTAGAGTGTTCACATCCTTAGACACAACATGAACAATTGGATGGAGAATATGACCTCTTGGATTCCACCAAATTTGACATCACATTATTTGATCAATGTGGCAGGTAATGCAATAAATCTACGATGTGCTAAAACTTGTTATGTAATGTTAGAATCATGTCAGAGTGATGTGTGAATTATGTTGTGATAGTCTGAAATGCAAGCCAAATGTGAAGACTCAAAGGTCAAGCACCATGCATGAATTATGTTGAACTTGATGAGTAGCGAACTCAGAATCATTGGTTGAGTGTGGCACCATATAAATAATCCAATAATGATGAATTGGCCAACAAACCACATTAGCGTGTCTGCTAATATATACTAGGTCAAAATGGGAGGTGACTCAAACATATCAAAACCAACATGTAGGCTAGGATCAACCGAGTCAATACAAAATGACTTGCAGTTGTTGGATCTAGTGTGAGTGTTAGAATCATCCGAGTGTGGGAATTCACTTGGGTTTAGTGTGAGAGTGTGCTAGACTCAACTAATATAAGTATGTGTAGATGACTAGGATGTGGCCCTCATCAAAGATATAAGTGTTCAGATTATTATTTTGCGTTAGCGGTATCACAATGATCAAACAAAAAATGCAACCCAAATTCAGCCAAAGTGTGTGTGGAGGTTGAGCTAGCAAGTGCAACAAAAGTGATGCCAATATTTCTCTTTCATTGATGTCTTAATTTATTTATGCATGTTTATGTATAAGCAAAACATTTGGAATAGAATTTTGGTGAAACTATAATTTGAAACAATTAAACAAATCTGGGAACTAAAATTTCATTACCTCAAAATTTCAGCAAATTCCAAAATAATTCTGAGAAGAATTTGCTAAAATTAGAACTGTATAACAAGTTAATTGGTCAAATATTCAATATGATATTGCAGCATCATCAAGCAGGTGAGCCGTCAATTTTAGCACGATAGATAACCAGATAAAATGCAGAGGCGGCGGCATCAAGTACATATTCAAACTCGTATAATTCCATAGAAGATCAAGACATGCGTATAATTCAATTAATTAAGCACGTTATCTCTCTCTCCTAAGTTAGCAGGAAAAAGATTCAGCATAAGGAAGTAAACTAGTAAAATAGGAAAATTCGAAAGGCCCTCCTTAATTATTTAGAGAAAGACTGAATTTCACCTCATCGCCTGGCCAACAAACACCCAGTACAGCCTGCATGATGCACTGCTTTGCTCCATTGCTGACCAATATCTCGTCCGGCTTATAAGTCAAACCATTCTCCTCTGCCATCACAAAATCGTCAACATTCAAACACCCTCACATATCCATCAAACACCGATCAAATTAAACCAAAAGCAAGCAAAAAGCCACTCAGACCTTCCAGCTTACGGCAAATAGCTTTCCTAAGCTCCAGGGTCCCAGCATTTGGGGTATACCTTGTGTAGCCCTCACGAATCGCATTGATACCAGCCTAAACCAAGTCTCAAATCAGCCGAAATCACAAAGATCGAGTCCTTAATCTCAAGTGATACGAGATGCGAGAATCGAGATCTACCTCAGCGATGACAGCCGGGGTGTCAAAATCAGGCTCTCCGGCGGCGAGACGGATGACTGGGACTCCAGCCTGGACAAGCGCAGTGGCCTGATCAGTGATAGCCATAGTCTTGGAGGGTTTTACGGCGTTAACTCGAGGGCTCACTGATAGATCAAGCGAAACCATATGATCTGAAGAGGGCTCCACGCTCGCCACGGCCCTGAGCGAACCATAGAATCGTTTAGGGTTGTTGTACGCAACAGATCTTGGGGCGTCGATCGAGGACGAGGAGGCGGATGAGCGGAGAAAGACAGAAGAGCGAAAGGAGGAGGTAGTGAAAGAGGAGCTGAGCGTGGCCTCCATTTCAGGTATTCGAATCAGACGGGCACGAGCAGGAATCCAGGAGGAGGAGGGGTAAAGCTGCTATTTATAGGGTAGTTACAAAGGCAGAGCAGGAGGGAGACTGCAGTGCTGGTTGGTCTTTTCCACCAACCCTCTCCTCATGCTAATTGCCAAACACTCCACCTACTGTCACCAACCAATTTTTTAGTTGTGCTTTAAATTAACCGACTTAGGAGAGCACTAATTGCTTCCAAATTTATTCATTTATTTCTTAATAAGTTTATAATTAAATTTGGAAATGATTTGAATTTTAAAATTTAATTATTAATTAATTTTTTTATCAAATTTGTGTTGCAAAAATTTTTTAGTGAAGTTTAATAAAGTTAATTATTAAATTTGATTAAAAAATATTAAAATGATCATTTGGTTATTAGATTTAAATGAGAATGTGACCGTTAATAGAAGATAATAGAAAAATATAATTCATGTAGTTAATATCCCTAATTAGATAAAGGCTTAATATTGTTATTATTGTTAGTAATGATCAATTTATATATTTAATTTTATAAATTTTAATTAAAATTAGAATTTCATGTATTATCAAGAAATAGTTTTAATTTATACATCTAATTATTGAAGTAATACTTTCATCTTTTATATCACTAATAACACATAAGATAAAAAATTAATATAATAGCATAAAATAAATGACAAAAAATAATTTAATATCATTAAATGCGTGTGCTATCAAATTATTGGTGAGTTATTTGCTAGAAATGTATGTATATTTAATACATATAATAAAAGCATAATAATTATTTCTCTATTTGAATAATTAAATTTATGTTTAAAAAGAAATATTTTATATTTAAAAAAATTCATACTCGATCAGAGGCACGTGATGCCTCAGATAGACACACGTGATGTTGAAAGTTATATGTAAACGAATGTTTTAGTATAAGGACAACTTAGATGCTAGAACTTTATCTCTATCTCGAACAGAGCTCTACTATGATTTTTGATTGAAAGACCATAACTATTTTTTCCTATTTGCTTCTGACTTTCTCCTGCTCTCCCGGAGGGAAAACTTATGCTCCTTTTCCATTTCTTTTTCCTTGACTTCTTGTTCTCCTTTTACCCCATGGATTCCCAAGTGGTCCTTTTTCCTCGTTTATAAAATAAACTCGCCTTCAATTCTCCCTCTGACCTGCTTGCTTCTGCCAACCCAACCCTGAACTGGAATATCTTTCTAACCTCTTCTAATCCCTCTGTAGATTTCCCTCTCAACTTTGTACCCCCTCAAGATAAAGTCATCCATTTCTCATAAAAGGAGGTTGATGAAGGTGCGAAGGAATGGAATCTGTCACTAATTGGCTACTCTTTGGGCAGGAGGTCTTACCATAAAGCCCTGTTTTATGCGGTTAAAAAGGCATTATTGTTCAAAGGTAGCTTCTCTCTGATCTCTCTCTATGATGGGTATTTTTATAGCATTTTTCTACACCTGAAGATTATGAGAAGGTCTGGATGGGTAGTTCGTGTTTTCTTTTGGATTAACTCTTTATCCTACAAAAAATGGTTGCCTTCCTTCACTCATAAGAGAAAATAGTTTAATGTTACATCTTTGCATTAAGATTCTGGATTTGTCGTTAACCTGCTAGAATCAAGAGGGTATCTCAAAGATCGCTAGCTTCATAGAAAACCCTCTTGTTGTTGATAATCTCTTGACTAAGAAATATCGCTTAACTTTCATTAAGGTTTGTGTCCAAATTTACTGAAAATCCGAACTACTTAATGAAATTCCTATCTTTGTGGCTGTGAAGACACATCCTCAAAATTCAGTACGATTGAAAACCAACCCCTTCTGATGGATGTGGATCACTTGCGCATACATCAAACTTATCTCATCTTAAACCTCAGGATAATCCCCCTAAGGAGACTACGAATCGAGGAAGGATCACTAGTAGGAAACCTCATGGTAATTAGATTTGAGAGCAGAATAATTTTAAAACCTCTAATATGAATGTCCAAGAGTATGGCTCATATCAACAAATCACTACCCAGTTGCAAAATCAACTAGCCTCTACCTCAAAGCCCCTGAACATTGAATTGTTGAATTAGGCCAAACGTTTAGAAGACCAAGCAAATTCAGCTTTACTTGTTGATTCCACTTTTTCTTCATCAAATGATATAAATACTATTCCAAATCTAATTAAATTCTTAGTCCAAAGATCTGACTATTACTCACGACCTTCCCTTCTATGGCTCAAATTGGTTGCATATGTCAAGTAAATTTGATGTGCTTTCAAAGGAAGTTCTCAATGGTACTTCATCTAACCATCTTACTCAATAGTCTTCTCAACCAATTATCAACACTAGATCCAGAAGGGGATGAAAAGGCCCCAAAACAAAATTGCTGCCTTAAACATTTATGGTTTTAACAACCCAGAAAGAATTTTGTTACATACAAACTTAGCTTGTTCTTACAATTTGGGTATGATTTTTATTTTTGAAGCTACAATCTAACAATATACTATTGATGATCAACAATTTGTTGCGTCACATTCGATTTTTGATATTGAAGCATCTTGTGATAATTTTGACTTATATATTCCGGGATGTATTTGGATAAAATGGATCTCTCTACATATTAATTTCAAACTCATTTTTAACTCTAGCCTACTTATCTTAAGGGATGTTTGGTCTAGTAATTAATTATCCTTCCTCCTATCAGTGGTGTATGCGAATTGTTCTTCTGAACGTGAACTTTTATGACAATAATTAACCTCTATAGGTTGTGGTATTAATATTCCCTAGGTTGTGATGAGGGATTTTAATTGTTGTAGGTCTCCTAAAGAGAAAATCGAAGGTTGCCCTTTAACTATCAGCAAAATATGGTCTCTTAATCATATGATTTTTAACAAATGATCTTCATGATTTAGCTTCTATCGTACAGTCTTTCAGTTGGTAAAATTAGAGGACATATCAACCTACCATCATTAAATTAGATAGGGACCTAGTTAATGATTATTGGTTTAACAGTTTCCTCACCTCATATTACAAAGTTGATAGCCTATTTTGCTCTAATCACTCTTTGATCATTATTTATCCTAATTCAATTAATTATGGTAATCAAAGATTCATGTTTAAAAACTTTTGGACTAATCTCTTTGAATTTTTGGGATTACATTCTATCTGTCATTCATCTTAATCTTTAGGGATATCCCATTTTGGTTTGGTATTTGAGGCTCCATAAGATTAAGATGCTCATCAAACATAGAAATTAGGAATCCTCTCATTTTCTTGCACAAATGCTAAAGCATTACAAAGGGAACAAGATCATTGCCTACCTCTTTTTACTATCAATCCTAATAATTTGGCTTTCAATAATTCCTTAAAAAATTGCACCTTATTTCTTGGGGAAAAAATTGGTAGTTCTAAAGAGTATGGTGGCCTTGGTTTTCCCTCTCTATAGGCTTTATCTCATGCTTTTTTTGTGTTCTCTTATTTGGAGATGCCTCTCAACCAATTTCTTGGCTGGTAGATGGTTCAAACAATATTATACTTCATTTTGGAAGCCTCGCTCTGATAGAATGTTTGTTTTCTTGAAGCAATTAAGGTTTGTGGCTGCAAAGGTTAAGCATAATTTCTCTTTCACCATTTTGGTAGATTGTTCTTTATCCCTCTTGTGGGATCCTAGTATTAGGTAAAAGCTATTTTTGAATTAATTGCTCCATCTGCTCTACTTGTTCCTTTTAACTCTCCTATTTCTAGATTGGTTTGAAGCTTTCCTCCATCTTCTCCTTTTTTTGGGGCAAGTGGTGAGTAACATTCATATTTCTATTGACACTTGTAATGGGGTTTTTTGGTGTGGTATTCAAAATCTCAATTTTAAAGCTTTTGTTAGGGTGCTTCTATAAGCAGATGGACAAAGTCTATTGATTAAAATTCAGTTGGCACAAGTGATGCTCATTAAGGTTTTCTTCCTTTGCATGGCTTTTGCTTGCATTTGGCTTAAAAACTACTGAGCAATCGATAAATAGAGGAATTAATGCTGATCTTTTTTGTAGCCTTTGTCTTTCTCATTCTGAATTTGCATCTCATTTGTTTTTTTAGTGTGACAACTCTTTGGAAGTGCTTCCCCCCTTTATTCCTTGGGCTAGTTCTTTCCTACTTAGGCCTAATGCTCTCCATGTTTTTATGTCTATCAAAGAGAAAAATGGACTTCCAAAAAATGCAAAGAACTTTTATTATTTGGTTATCTCCTCACTGATTTACTTCCATTGGAGGAATGGAAGGGGTTATACTTATTTATTCAGTTTGATTCACTAGATTAAGAAGGCTTTAAGGAAAAAAAAATTTTAGATGGAAAAAATTTGACCTTGATCCCCTTATGCCGTAATAGTTTTTTGGTGAAGATTTCTTGGCTCTTGCTTTGTTTATTTGTTTCTGCTATCTCCTTTTTTCGAATGGGGATATAAGTTTATGCATCATTCAGCTCTTGTGGTTTTTTTGGCTGGACAATGATGCAATATAGTTTTTAATGGCAACCCAAGATTGTCAAATCCCTTAAGTAAAAGAAGCTAAACTCTTAAAAATCAAGACGCCTTTTAATGTAATGGTTAAAATTTTATTAAAAAAACTTCATAGTTAAGCGTGCTCATCCTAGAGCAATTCTGGGATGGGTGACCTACTGAAAAGTTATACCAATAGGATAAAACCGTGAGTCTCCTAGGCCAAAGCGGATAATATCTTGATAGTTAAAAATTTGGGTTGTTACAAAGATGGCTTGGATTAGTATTGACAACCAAGGCGCTATCTAAATTCAAATGTTAGGTTTCTTTTTTTTTTTTTTTAACTCTTTGGTGTCACTACTGGAAGGCCTACTTTGCCCCGACAACCTGATTGTCAATACTAATTTGATTATTTGGGACCTTTTTGTGAGTTGTTGAGTCGGGTGAACCTTTATGGTTCATGCCTTTTTCTTTGATATAATTTTTGCGTATTTGAGTTTTACTTCAGCCCACATATGTAATTTTTTTTTTCTTTTATTTTGAAATTGCTCTTCTTTGGGGTTTACGTTGTAATCTATCTTTTTAACAATGGAATGGGTTAAATCCAAAATTTTACAAAAAAAAAACGAATGTTTTAGAATTTTCTTAAGAAAATTTGGCAAGTGATGCAGTTAAAAGTTAAATGCTCCTCAACATTTCTATTAAAAAAATGAAAAAAAAAAAAATAAAAATAAAAGAACATTTTATATTAAAAAAATTACAAGGATATTGCCCGTGAGCGACATGTCTAGACTTAAGTTTTGGTTGGGACAAATTTCTTACTATTTTACGTTTTATATCAGAATTATAGTTTTATTCAACAACTATTTTTTTCACTATTTTTAAGAAATTTGTGTTAGGTAGGGGTGTCAATTTTTGACACGACACGAAACACGACCCGAACCCGACCCGAAAAAATCCGGGTTCAGGTCAACCCAAACCCGAAACGGGTCGGGTTCGGGTTGAAGAAATCAACCCGTTTTAAAAATCGGGTCGGGTTCGGGTTGACACGGAAACACGAAATTGACCCGAAAGTGACACGAAAAGTCATATTTGACCTGAAAATCCGAGTTTGACCCGTTTTTGACCCGAAAAAAGAAGATTGACCCGATTTTTTACCCGAAAACTAGCAATTTTGGGTCAATTCCGTGTCATTCGTGTCGGGTCGGGTTGACCCGGACCCAAATCGGGTCGGGTTCGGGTCCGGAAACCTAACCCGTTTTTAAAAACGGGTCGGGTTCGGGTTGACCCGAACAGTGCCGGATCAGTTCCGGGTTCGACCCGAACCCGACCAGTTGACCCGAATTGACACCCCTAGTGTTAGGAAACTATCTTTTACAAGCGCTTTTAAAAAGTTTTACTTTCTCCACAACAGCTTCACAACTATCTTTTTAAAAAATTGCAGTCATCCCAATTGAATTCTTAAGCTTTATTTGAAAGAAATAATGTATATTTTGAAGACAAATTGCTATTGATTTAAAAAAATTTTGCCTTTACAAAAACAAATATGCACCAAAAAAAACTAAAAGGCCTCCCTCTTCGGGACTAACCTACCCCAAATCTTCTCTTATTTCCACAACTAGCCGAACAATTAATTTTTTGCATTTTTAGTGTCCTCAAGGGTAGCTTTTCGACATTATAAACTTAATTTTAACACTTTTGGAGTTTAATGAAATATCTACATTTAATTTTGAGTAAATTTGAGAAGTTCATAGAGAAATTTTGTTCTAATTATACCGTTAAGTTTGCTTGATTCATAGTTCATATCTATGGGAGGTCCACATTGACGTCTAAAGAACAGTCATGTCTTACAATTTTTTCAAAATTGTAATTTTACGTCCAAGTTTTTTTTTTTCAAAACATGATATATATTTTTGAGCTACACGTATTTCGATGTTTGAAAATAGAGGCAAATGATACATTACTAAAACATTCATTTAATAGTTAGTAATCTAAATACAATATTTGTATTGGCAACTTTAGAAATTAAATTTTAGTTCATTTGAACTATAATATTAAGAAACTTATAGTCAAATTCAATGTCTAAAAAAGATGAACCAAACAACCCCAAAATTCATATGATCTGAATGCAAATGAGCCCAAAGCAAATAGCTAAAATGTGGTTAAAATTTTCATGATGTTAATTTAAAAATCAAACAATCTTTGAATCTTGCATACTTATAGTCAAAATGAGCATCTCGATGAGAGAAATACAATAAGTCAATATCACTCAATTCTGAGATTGTTAAGGCACATAAATGATGAAAGAATGTTCTATTATCAAAGGAACTAACACGGATCATTAGATAAATTGTTTTAAGATATTGGATAAATTTATTGAAATAACTCCCTAACAAACTATAAATAAACTCTCAATTTTTACGTGAGAGAGACGCAGGAGTTGAACGTGGACCATGAGCTAAATTTAGAGAGTTTTTAAAGATATGAAGGACTCTAGAGCTCTACTAGATGTTCGACACATATGATCACCACCATCAATCATCATTGTCCATCCATTGACATCCAATCATCACCACTCAACTGTCCTCTTCCATCCAACATCAGTTGTACACCATCGTCAAACAATCATCACCCAGCAACTATAAAATGATCTTCATCTCTTAACTGCCATCATTACCCGCTTCTATTTATCCTGTAATCTCTATTACATACATATGAGATCAAATTAGGGTTCCCGACTTTATAATCTCATAAAAATAGCATAAGATGTGCCATACTTGTGTTTTTTTTTTTTTTTTTTCCCCATGTTTTTCACTTAAATTTTTTGGCATCCCTTATGAAACTCTTTTTTATCCATGCGTGTCGAATCATCTTACAAAGCTAAAATTTTAATTTTTTTGTTCTACCATCACGAATATTCTAACACAGATCAAATAGTAAGCTTAGAGAAGACTTCTATGGTGCAAGATGCCTAGAAGAAAAATATTACAAGACATATGACATTGTAGTCCATCATTTTGTTGCAGGTGACCTGTTTGATAATATTAACATTATTTATATGTTATAATACCAAATCATTATTATTTAAAAAAAATGTCTTATTATTAGTCATTTATCTTAGTGCAGTGTAGGAGAATGATAAAAAATGCACTTCAATAATGGCATGAATGAGTACACCATCGATCGATCTCATGCGATTGCTGCAAGTCTACTATCATAATTTACCCATTTAACCTTCTCATTTATCAAATTTAAGATTAATATTTTCTAAGATGGTGTCTATTATCATAAAACTTTTTTTTTTTTGGAACAAGGATATCTATCCGTTGTCACCGGCGTAGGGGGCGCATGACGGCATAACTAATCACTCGGCAAACCTACTAGCAACCAACTCAACAGGTGCATGACCCGCAGTTATTTTCTCCCCCACTTAAGGGGTCCCGCTGCATGAGAGGGAATTCGAACATGAGTTGGAGGGTTCCCAACCATGCTCGCCCACAAACCCAACTAAGCCCGATGGGTCATAAAACAAATATGAATTGATTGTAATATCTAAATATGGAATAGAAGATGCTACCCCTCATGAGTTCAATCCTAAAGCATGGATGCCTGCTAAGAGGGGTGACCAAATGCACATAGTTTTGTTGATCATAGTGAAGATAACACATAATTGGGTTTCAATATCTGCAAGAGATATCTAAAGAGAGCTAATTTAGAGGGCAACCAATCATGCTAGAAGACATCTTACAAATCATACACAACAAGAAGATCAATGAAATTGTGATGTCACTATGTCCATATTCATGCATCATTGATTGTCCCACATGAAACTTTCATCCATTGAAGGATTAAGACCATCTCCAACCGAAATGCATATAACCGTATGCAGTCAGCCATTTAGACCATTCAAACTCCAAATCGCACGTCAAAGATCGATAGGTGAACAATGCGACGCCAATATTAGCGTAGGACTATTCACCTATGCCAAAAAAATAGACAACAACATTTGCCGAAGAAGCACACAAAAGATGAGAAAATGGTTACCTTCGCAGGAAGCGTGTGAAAGAAGAGAGAAAATGCCATTTGATTGGAGATGAATTATTGCATTTTAAAATTTTGCTGAATTTTGTCGTGAAAAATGAGTTTTTCGGTGCCCTAATATATTTAACATATTCATGCATCAATCCCACTTGATGCATGATTGGTACCATTAAAGGGCTATTTAATGGGGCGCATGCCATTTTTCTTACATAACCATCAATCCCACTTGACAATTTTTATTTCTTGTGATAACAATGGGCTACCAAAACGAGAGGACAATTAATTTCCACACGCGCTCAGCTTTTCAAGTCAATCACAAGCAGAGAAGGCAATTAGAAAAAGATTCATATGAATGTAAAGATGACTTCACCCACCGTTGTTTGTCCGGGTGATGAAGAACCGGCTAGGCAAAGCCTAGGTCCCTGATTCGAATCTCTTGGCAAGCAGTGAAAGTCTTAAGTGTTGGCCCGTGTAAATTGATGTCGGTTGCATGCTAGGTCGACCGGGATTTTTACTGGCCTGAGGACAGTGCTTCCTCGTAAAAATAAAAAATAAAAAATAAAAAATAAAGAGGCCTTCAGAAAAGGTGTTGTAGTTCCTATAAATCATTTCGTCCCAACATTATAGCCAGGCTGCTTTACTATACAGCTAAAACAATAGCCTATTTAACTATATAAGCAATAAATTAAACTTTTTCAAAAGAATACAAATGAAATATAAGACAGACAATAAAGATGACAACAAGGCTGAAAAATAAAAATGTTTAATAATTAAATATAAGATAAATGAATTCATCAGCTGTCAAAGAAACTATGCTATTTAAGGCATACATGAAGTAGATCCATAGTCTAACGGAAATATAATATATATTAACAATCAGTTCTAAAAATACAACTGGGACTGAAGGCCTCGCCCTTCTTTTGGGTAAATTATTCTGTGTGGAGTCCGAACATAGAAAATCTTTCGGATTACTGTGTACACTATGCGTAAGCTCACCCTACGCTCTGCGTATTTACTGCGTACATATTACGTATTTATAGATACGCAGTAAATAAGCAGCAAATAATTAGTTGTGAGGATTTGTTGCTTATTTACTACGTATCTACAAATACGCAGAGTGTACGCATTGCGTCCAGTAATCCGAAAGATCCTCTACGATCGGATTCCGCACAGAATAATTTCTCTGACCACAATCAGGAAGAAAGAAAGGATGAATTCTCTATAAGACCGGATGTTGCTTTCATGAATTCATCACTTACGCCATAGTCGTTTGGCTCAAAGCTCAGAGTTGACAAATAACCAAGGCCATCATCACAAGTTTGGGTATCATATATAACACCATTATCAGAGTTTGAAGAGAAGAAATATCCTATACCATCTTCTTCAACTCCAACCTTATAGTCATTTCGATGCTCTGCTGATCCCGAGCCATAACAGCCTTCATCGGTTGGCAGCACAGGAGAATGTCCTTGGAACAAAGCTACATGCCCAAACAACTTGTCCTTCCTTGAAAATGTTGTTCCGCAAGAGCAAAGCCACTTATCAAGGCCACAATGCTTCTCATGAGTCTTAAGATCAGCTAGAACTGAGAATTTCTTGGTAAGGCACCTACCGCACATATAGCTTTTCTCACAGTGACTTCTCTTGTAATGGTTTCTAACACATAGTAGTGTCTTTAGAGGTTGAAAACTCTTGTGCTCTTTGTTCCTCTTGCACCCAACAAAGGGGCATGAGTACCTCTTGATAATAGTAGAGTCTGAGTCCTTCATTGGCTTGGCGAGGGCAGCTGGAGTCTTGTACTCATCACCATGGCCTCTCATATGCATTCGCAAGTTCGCATCTCTCTTAAATCCCTTCCCACATATTGAACAAAAGTGAGTATGTGGTGCCAAAATTTCCTCCTTTTCCAACTGTAAGACTTCATAAGAACCCAGTGGAAGGTTATCGAGCTCGGCTCCATCTTCACTTCCCTTCACATCATGGTCTTCAATGTGATCTAACTCGTGCGGTTCTCCGTCGCAATCTCCTAGACTAGCAGATTTTTCCTTCTCCAAAGAAGTCTGCTCATACTTTGGCAAAGGGGTGTCAACTTTCAAACTAGTTGAGGAACTAAGTTTACTGCAAAATTGATCAGGAGGAGGTTTGGAAGATAAGAGGTTTTTTTTAATGGATGGAAGAAGGTTTCCTGCTGTAGAGATCAAGTCAACTATAATAGAAGTGAGATCAGTAGTCACAATTTGCTGTTGAATCGCGAATTCATTTGGCCTGAGAGTGATTTCGCTCTTCTCGTTAACAATGGAACCGATAATGTCCTGAACTTGGTGGATCTTCTGCTCAAGGAAAGATAGATTGTTGAGTATGGTCTTAACATCCCAATCACCAGTAGAATTCCTAACAATCTGATCACGGGAAGAGTTCAAGAGAAAGGATTGGATTTCTAAAGGCAGCAACCTAGAATTCTCAGCCTGGAGATTGAAACACAAACCATTAGAGCTCATTTGGGTGAAGGAATAATTCAAATCAAGGTTTAAGGATGGATTGCTAGCAGAAGAGAGTGAACTTGCAGAAATTTCAGAAGGCCTCAGCTTACGTTCCATTTCAACTGAAGTCCAATCCAAAGCTTCTAGCAATTTCTAACTGATAAAAAAATAAATCATTAAGACAAAATCTAGAGCAAAACTGATACCCTAACCCTAAAAATAAATTTGAAACAAAATCAAACCAAAGGATAATTTGCTTTCTTGAAGAAAGATTTTGTTTTCATTCAATTGATCACTACTTCCGAGAGATTTTAAACGAATTTTGGGTTTAAAATCAATATTGGATCCAACCAAATGATGCAACCTAGACAATTTCACCATCCTTGAAAAAAATCAGCAATAAAAGAAGATTTGGAAACAACAAAATCATATATTTAACAATACTGATTAGCAGGAAATGCAATAGATACAATAGTTCCAGAAAATCATCCTAAAAAATTCATGTCTGCTTAATTTTCATTTATTAAAGAACAAACCAAGAGAAAACGGAGAAATTCTTCCACGACTTACGGTAAAAGAAGGGGATCAAATTCGAAGAAACACGGATGAAAGAGAGATCATCAAACAAGTAAAATAAAAGCATGAGAAAATCAAAGGGATGGAGATCCATCACCTCTCGCCTCCTCAGCAAGCTCTCCCACCTTCGCCTCGCAGTCTACTTTAACCTCTACCAGCTCCAGCATTATTGATCAGGCTGACAGAGAAGGTTATATTATATGTATGATTATGTCAGAGAAAAAAATTAAATTAATATTTAATTATCACTATTTACAATAATATCATCTAAATTAAAAAAATATAACAAAATTTCAACTGATAATTTTATTTTTATTAAATTTCAATAATTTGTACAATTAATTTTTAAATTCTATAAAAAATTATTAGGATAATATATATGCAAAAAACTCCTAAGAAATAAAAAAACAAATTTATGAATAATAAGCATTTAAATTTAAAAATATTTCAATTTTTTTAAGAGATGAAGCATACTTACATGTTTAATAGTATTTTATTTTTAAATACTGACTTTTAATATTTTATTACCTAATTTTTATTCATAATAATGTGATATATTTTTCTATGTTAAAATGGAATATCTCATGAATATTTTATCTTAAATAAAAACCAAATACAATAAATGAATATGGAATGGAAGGAAAGTGAGTAGCACTAAATCATGAATTCAAGCGAGAATAGGTAAATGCTAATGCTATATATTTTTTTAAAATTTAAAAGAGTGGTAATCATTTTTATTTGAAAAAATTTATAAATAAAGAGCAAAGTAGCCATAACATTTAGCGCATTATTAGAATGCGTCGAATTTTTCAGCGTATTCCACTTCTATACACGTGTATATTGCACGAATGATTGTATGAATGATTACACTCATGAATTATTTAAAATTTATGATTGAAGAATTTGAAATTTTTTTAAATATTTGTTTTTGCAGATTTTTTTTTTCAAATTATTATCTACTACATAGATATATTTAAATTATAGTTTATCAAACCAATGATATATTTGATAAAATTTAAGAGAACTAATTCATTGATAAAATCAGAGTTTAAATCAGGTTAGTAGTTTAATATAAAATCATTTCAAATATTTTTTTTCTATAAAAAATTAGTTTAAAATTATGAAACGATATGATGTACGATCAAATTATTTAAATTTGTAAAAATGAAACTTTTTTTTTCATTTTAACTTTATCATATTGCTAAATACAATATGTGAAAAAAAATTCTGAATATTAAAAATTGTGAAAATTGTTGTTGAAATCAAATAGGACAGGACTGACAAATTGCGAAGCATAAATTCATGAAAATAATTGCTGAATAAAATAACAACATGAAAGACAAATTAATAGCGTGGCAATAAAGCCAAAAATATTATAATTATATATTGTCTATTACTATGCGCATACCCGCTTGGAGTTGGCTTAAAGCTGGACAGCATGTAAATTTCTCTGCAAACTTCTTTTAGATGTATTGTCAATCCTTTATATTCAGAAACTCTTTTTGATTAGCGGCAATATTGAGCTTACGATATGATTCAAACAAAAATACGTCTAACAAAGTATGTCATCTAGTATAAAGAACACAATGATTTACATCAGTAATTGGTTTTTCAACATTTACCTCAACATATCAATCTTGTTTGCGTCCAATTTCACTAATTATGGTCTTAAGAATACTCATAGGAGCCAAATGACCATCTTCATCCGTGAACCTTGTTGTATAAATTTCTAACACATATCACCTAAGTATGTTCCATCCATATACATGGGATAACGACATTTGATTACTTTGTCGTATGCAAGGGCGGAACTATAGTGAGCTTAGGGGGGCAATTGCCCCCCCCCCTATCTAATATTTCTTTCACATTTTTAGTTACTAAATTCTGCTTTCAGTGGCTGTTTAATAAAGTTTAATTACACTTTTTTCTTTATTTTCTATACTTAATTTTTTAAAAAAAACTTTTCGTAATGTATAGATATATAATATTATTTTTTAATATTTAATTATTTTTGTGCTGATTCCCCCCCCCCCCCCCCCCCCTCTCAAACTAAAGCCATTCCCGCCTGTCATATGTATCCCATAAATGTTATCTTCAAAATATATCATTCAGATAACAGGAACAAAAATTCAATATCGATTTAGCCTTTCCCTCATAGAGATAATCATCAATAGATTTGATCAAATTTTTAAAATATCAGACCAGACCAGCCGGTCTCGATCGGTTCAATCGGTGAACTGGTCACAAGAACCGGTTCTGATTTAGTTTAAAACCACGCTTTGCGATTTGACAGACTGATACGTGAGTATGTCGATCAACCGGCGAAATAGGCTACCCGGTTATTTGAACTGCTGTTCAAAATCCACAATTTTTAAATATTTAGTTTAAATAAATTAATAACATATATTTAAAACATTTAAATAATTATAAATACAAATTTTTATTAATTAACATTTGCCCAACCATCATGAAGTATTTCACATGAACCACCACTCATGAGAAGCTCTAATTCGATTTAGCTTCTCCTCAGTATCATCAGTAAGATTTGATCAATATTTTAAAATTCAGACCAACCAGCCGGTTCGAACCAGTTTCAATCGTAAAACTAGTACAAGACCGAGTCTGAATAGTCTTAAAACCGCCTTTGCATTGAAAGGACTGAACGCGGTGAGACTGTCGGGATCAACGGCAAAATCTGGCCTCGAGTATTTGAACCTGGCTGTTCAAATCTCACATTATTCAATATTTTTTAAATAAAAATTAACATATATTTAAAACATTAAAATAATTAAATACCATTTTTATTATTAACATTTGCCCCAACCATCATGAAGAATTTTCAACATGAACCCACCACTCCATGTAGAGCCTTAACCATAACAAAACTCAAAATGCTATATAAACAATAGCAAAAGTCTTTTTAAGTGATGTGGGACTAAAGAAAGAGTTGAGATGTATATGAGCTCATAACATATATAATGCATATAAAAACATATTTTTAAACAGATTTTTTAATATAATTTTTTTGATGTAAATGATACTTATGTATTAGTTAATAATAAAATTTTATGTATTTATACACTATAAAAAATAATTATCATTAATAATTTTATGTTATTTTATTAATGATTTTAGATATAAATTTATAAAATAAATTTGGTTATGCAACAATAAACATGTTTAAAATATCATTAATACTAAATATAAAATAAGAATAATTATATTAAATTATAAACTTATGTTAGAATTAAATTTATATTAAATATGTATCATAAATTAGTAATTAATTTATATTAAATTATATGGTTATATGTAAATTAAAAATTAATTTAAAA